CCACACACACACACTGCTCTCCCGGCTATACAGGCTTATTTTACAATGTTCTTTGTTACTGAGATCAGTAAACTTGTCTTATACTTATATTTTTATGTTATAATATATACCAGTAACAACAGCATCAATCAACTGTTTCTTCAAAATATATCAGATTAATTACACGTCCTATGAAATTATAATCAAGTCTAGATGATCATCAAGAGTTTTCACAACGCCATTCTACCTAAAACTTTAAGTGTATAGCATGACACTTGAGGCTTAATTTTCATCATCTTTTCTTCGAGCCTCGGTTCGGACACGGATTTTTTTCGCCCTCTCTTGCCCACCCAGCAGTAATGGGTACCTGACTTCGAGTTGGGGAAGTAAAGGAGGCGTGGAAAGGAACTGGCCACCCTACCACAATATGCCGAAGGCCAAGGAAGTTGTCTCACTAACAAGGCAATCCCCAATGTCCGGATCGGATGCGGGAACAACTTTACTTTACTTTTTCTTTAACACTAAGCTCCCACGGGACGCCGATCGGCGACGGTGTAATATGTGAAGTGTTTCTTCTGGGTGGTTGTATCACAATCTGCCTGACTTGGCTTGGCCTAGCTAGACAGAAGGACCGAAGAAGCCTCCCCTAAATAATCTAGGTTGTGCCGATTTTTACCCATAAAAATTACGGAAAAGCGGGAGGACATTGGATAACACAAAGAGATTAGCCCAGGATAGGGAAAGGTGTGAAGTGTTTGTTCGTGACCTGTACTATACCCTGATCCAGGGCGAGAATAAATGGGAAGCAGCGTGGTGGAATCAGGCTCTCGTCAAAATAATCAAAATGAAGAAACTTGCATTTATCCGCAGGTTTGTGAATTTTTATCAAATTTTTGTTTTTTGGCTCAACACCTTTCATGCCTATTACAGAATTCATTTCTGTGTGAATTTTTCTGAAAAAGTTGATTAAAGGAACAAAAAATGTAAATTTTCAGTTACCACGGACTCTTAAGCTAACGAAATAACTAATCTTTGGTGGCCATTTTCTCACTACTTTTACTTCTGAAAATAAGTGACCCCCACCTCCTTCTTTCGCAAATATATCAACTTGTATTCAAGATAAATGGATATGTTTTTCATCGAAATAAAGACAAGTGAACAGGCTTTAAGATGATACCAATAACTCTACATGCCCAAAAATTGACGAGAGCCTGATTCCACCACGCTGCCTCACAAATGCAATGATGGTGATAGTGATACTTATTGAGAGATAAAAAGCTTGTCTTTAATTAGAACCCTGGCGTACAAGAGATTAGCTAGATGATATCGAGAAAGGAAAAAAAATTCACAGGCATGTGCCGATTTTTACATCTTTTTTGGTTGTTTTTGTTGGGGGGAGGTGGGTGGGTGGGTGGGCGTGTAAAACATAATATTATAATATAGTCACTGACCGGTCCACTGTTGTACTGGACAGCCCCGGCAAAGGGGCCACTGAGACTTTCATAGAAGCTGGAAATGTCTTCAGGGATGCTCATGTTCAGACGGTCACACAGTCTGAAATAATAATAATAATAATAATAATAATAATAATAATAATAATAATAATAATAATAATAATAATAATAATAGATAGCATTTGTATAGCGCATATCCCCGCTCAGCAGCAGGCTCTATGCGCTTTACACTATATTATTACCCCAGCAGACCATAGAAAACTCTGAAACATTCTCAGCTTCCCGGGAAGCATACAGTGCAAGCTGCCGATTAAGCGCCGAAACACTAACAAACTGACAAGATCTTTCGCTGTCTATAGCCGGGTACCCATTCCCACCTGGGTGAAATGAGGAAAATTCGTGTAAATGCCTTTCCCAAGGACACAACGTCAGGCCCTTGACAGGATTCGAACCCACGACCTTACGGTTGCGAGTCCGAGAGCCTAACCGCTAGGCCACCGACGCCATATAGCGTCCTCATTGTACACTGAAATATGTATGCTTATAATAATTATGTGAGGCAGCGTGGTGGAATCAGGCTCTCGTCAAAATAATCAAAATGAAGAAACTTGCATTTATCAGCAGGTTCATGAATTTTTATCAAATTTTTGTTTTTTGGATCCACACCTTTTATGCCCAATAAAGAACTCATTTCTGTGTGGATTTTTCTGAAAAACATGGATCAAAGGCACCAAAAATGAAAATTGTCATTTACCATGGACTCTTAAGCTAAGGAAATAACTAATCTTTGGCGGCCATTTTCTCTTTAATTTTACCTCTAAAAACAGGTGACCTCCACATCCTTCTTTCGCAAATATCTCGACTTGTATTCAAGAAAAATGGGTATTTTTTCATCCAAATAAAGACAGGTGAACAAGCTTTAAGATGATACCAATAACTCTACATGCCCAAAAATTGACGAGAGCCTGATTCCATTGCGTCGTGAAACATATTGGTGTTTGTCACACAATCTGAATTACATACTATCGTCATTGTGCATGCAAATTTAAATATAATACATAATTATGATTATAATATTACATGTATTTCTAATTTGTTTAACAATCTGATATACGCCGTGTCCTTCACTGCTGGTGGATGTATTCCACAGATTGCTCTGCTCCTCCCCAAGCATTTTGGTGATCGTGCAAGTTAAAGATGCCTTTGCATGTGATGTTTAAGTCTTGTGTGTTAGATCTAATATTCTTTCTGTCTAAAGGTAATCGACCGGAATAGTAAGAGGGTTAATTAATTGATCATTATGAGAGTGGATGACGTTGTTTAGGGGTTTAACACAACCGCTGAAGGAGATAAGGTCGTTATTAAGAGAGGAGAATTGATTGATCACTGTGAGAGATAATGACGCCGCATGACCCACTCATAGTGACAACTGCTTTATAGTGTAAAAAAACAATGTGTCTTAGCTACTTTATCCGGTGCACCCTGTGATAACTGGGAGCAGCAAAAGTGTACATCTATCCCTCGGCGACTACTACTATATGTGAGGCAGCGTGGTTGAATCAGGCTCTCGTCAAAATAATGAAATCGAAGAAAACAGAAGTTTTCTCCCACTCCCTGCTTGGCAATTTTAATGAAATTTTTGTTTTTTGGCTCAACACCTTTTATGTCCATTTACAAACACGTTCCTTTGAGGATTTCACCAAATACGTTGATTAAAGGCACAAAAATATAAATCTACAGTTTCCATGGACTCTCCAGCTCTGGAATTTACCAAGATTTGGTGGCCATTTTCTCGCTACTTTTACCTCTTAAACCAGGTGACCCCCTCCTCCTTCAATCCAAAATATTTCCACTTCTATTGAAGATGGAAGGGTAATTTTTTCATTGAAAGCAAGACAAATGAACAAGCTTTAAGATGATACCAAAAACTCAATATGCCCAAAAATTGACGAGAGCCTGATTCCACCACGCTGCCTCACATATCATTCGGTACACTTTTGGATAACATTATCAGCCCCAAGTACACTCGCATGAGCCCCTATGGTTGGCGTTGCGGTTATCTATTGTTGTATGCTGTTTGTTTGAGTAAAGAGGAAAGTGCGAAATTGCGAAATCGGTAAGCTTTAGACTTTAGGTTTAACGCCCCGTACAACATTGAAAAGTTTATCTTAGAGACAGGACCTTTGATTTCAGCACAGCACTGTACAGAACAGCACAGCACAGCACAGCACAGCACAGCACAGCACAGCACAGCACAGCACAGCACAGCACAGCACAGCACATCATGTTACGTTACATTACATTACATTACAGAATATTTCAGTACGGTACATTACAGAACATTATAGCACATTACATCACAGTCACAGACCATTACGTTAAGTTACGTAACATTACATTACATTCCGTTGTGGTACACTACAAAATGTTACATTACATTACATTACATTACATTACATTACATTACATTACAACTCAGCACATTACAGCCCATTACAGCACATTTCAGTACGGTACATTATAGCACATTACAGCACAGCCCCAGACCATTACGTTACGTTAGGTTACGATACATTGCATTACGTTACGTTACACTACATTGTGTCACATTATATTACATTACATTACATTACATTACATTACATTACATTTTGTAATTTTTTCTTCCTTCACCTGAATAAGTGGCTGGTTGGCGGGCGCTCGGATGTGGTGCGATTTGCTCCATCTACTTTGTCAAACACCCTTGTCATCAACTCTCTTTCTCGTCTCTGTATTTTACCCTCTTGTATTACACCTCCAAACCTCTACTCCTATACAACTATGACCTTTTTGCCTTGCAAACGCCGTATAATTTTAACTAAAACTAAACTAAACAAATCTCACCCGTATTAAAGGGGAGAGGGAGGGAGGGCAACAAATCTCGCTAGAATAACAGGGTAAAAAACCCAGCTTAACTCATTTGAATAACAGAAAAAACATCCCCATCTTAACTCATTTGAATAACAGGAAAAACATCCCCATCTTAACTCATTTGAATAACAGAAAAAACATCCCCATCTTAACTCATTTGAATAACAGGAAAAACATCCCCATCTTAACTCCCTGGAATAACAGAAAAAACATCCCCATCTTAACTCACTGGAATAACAGAAAAAACATCCCCATCTTAACTCACTTGAATAACAGGAAAAACATCCCCATCTTAACTCACTGGAATAACAGGAAAAACATCCCCATCTTAACTCACTGGAATAACAGGAAAAACATCCCCATCTTAACTCACTTGAATAGCAAGAAAAGCTTGTCCCTTCCTGCTTTTGTTTCCGTCATGGCTTGTACTTCTTGGGTGGCCTTGGAAATGGCGTCATTGCAAGCCCCGCGACCGTCGTAAGTTCTCAGCGAGGCATCCACAACCTCGAAGTACTCTGTGAAGGTGAAGAATAGATAGTATTATTATTATAGACCTTGAGTTATTACAAAGATCGTGTATAACAAGATAGTTCACTCTTCTCTTTGAACCAGTTAAGAAAGTGTCCACAAAATTCGATGTCGCCCTCTTTGAAAAAG